AAATTATGTTGGTTAAATCACTATGAAGATTGTTAAAAAATGATCTTCTTTACGAGCTCTCATTTCTCTTCTTTGCCGAGTTTAACGCTGTGAGGCAATCAGACGTTTGTGCCAAACCCTACTTATAGCTCTGAATGACATGATACTCCTCTGCAGCTCCGGATATATTTAAAGAGATGAACTCTTGGCATTAGCATTGTCACCTCGGTTGTCTAGAAATATAAAGTGAAATCATCAAGTGTATTGGTTCTTGAAATACAACTTCATAAATAATATAGGTACTGCATTAATTCGACGTTTTGCGATAAATTAGACAAGTACCGTTCAACGTTGCAATATTTGTTAGGTATGTTATATAATTTCAGTCGATTTAGATCAATCACTATTTATACCTTTTATTCCATTAGTACCTAATTAGTATAAGAGCCCAATGTCTAAAATTAGATTCGTTAAAATCTAATAGAAGAGACAGTTAAAGAATCAATCACTACCTCAAAATGAGCAAAAGAAATTATTTCCGAGAACGAATTACTAGGAGGCAATAAATCACCTACATGTACAATTTATTCTTACGTAGATCGGTGGATCGTGCGCAGTAAATTATGCCAGGTTTCGATTTACAGATTCGTAGGTGACACTTTATTATTCATACATCGATCTGTAAATCATCCACGTCGTAAATAATAGCCTTCTTAACCTAGATGAATTTTATAACCTAACCGGTACTTGTCATCGACATCATCATTCTTATAACAGGTTTTTCAAAAAAAAACAAATAGTGTAATTATCTTTGCTTAAATACAGTTATTCAAACTTATAGATATTAGCAAGATTTCGATTTTAGTTACCAAAAGAAAGCCTTTGTCACTGGAACAAAGAACAGTAAGATGCATTTCAGACGCAAATACGAATATAACCTCGTGTCGTATAAACAAACGCACAAATCAAATGGAGACATTCAAAACCTACGGACTAAATTCCCCCATGTAATTTATAAGGACAACGACTTTGACGCATTGTGTCATTATTGTAAAGTAAACATACTCGTATTTACTTAAACTGACAGACATTGACAAAAAGGTGTTAAATAATTTTAAGGGCACCTCCATAGAGTTGATATAATGGTATAAGGAGCGAAAACGTGAGACAACTCATTGTTTTCCTGTAATTGCATATTTCGATATGTATGTGCGTAATTCGAACTAGCTGTATCCTAGCAAATTAGATGCTATTAATCTTACAAAGCACCCATAACCGGCTAGCGTGAACTTTGACCAAGCTTTCCCTAAGCCTAGTGAAGGTAGAAGATGCGGGAGCTGTATGCCAGGATTGTGGCAAATAGTGTTCTATCATCTCTGCCTACCTCGGATGGAAATGAGACGTATGTCAACAAAGATTACTTTTTTTAGCATAATTTCATCTGAATTTATTTCGTTTGCGTTACGTTACAAAAGTCACATAGCTATCATTATGTCCAATAAAAATTTACGGACTTAATAATGTATATGTAGTTGACATAAAAAATCTAATATTCTTTGTATTGATTGTAATATTATAAATAATAATGATTCTTTTGCACATTTACGTTTGTGCTAGAAATGTAAACACGTTAAAATATTTTGATGAAAATGTGAAAGTCTGCGTATTTTGACGGGATGGAAAATCCCTTCGGATCGCCGGCTCCTTGGAGTATGTAGTATTTGCACTAAAAACCACCCCGTATTGTGTATTGTCTAGATTTACAAACAAATAAAAATAAAATATAACAATACAAAATAAAACTATTTTAGGATTGAGCTCCAAGATTTGTTTTTATAGTTAGTCCCAAATTAACTTAGAAATAAAAGCCTCGTTCTATACATTGTACTTTGTACCAATGGTATGGTAAAAAGACTGAACAATTAGGATTCTAATCTTGTCTTTAAAATTACTGCAAAAGGGGGAATATCTATCAAAAGGATACATTTTACCTTTCTTTACAAAACCTACACTTCAAATTAACTGGTTTTCTTATCCTTTGAATTATTTCACTGTCTGCATTTATTTAAGGGTCACGATTGTTTTACGATAAAATGAAACAAGATAAAGTGGCGTTTCCCTTATTACATAACATTGCTTTCACAGTAAGCGTTTAATAAATCTAAAACCCTCAATTATGAGTGTTACAATTTGGTGCAATCAGTTTTCTATTAAACTCATGTTTAAGAATTGAGCAAACCAACTTAAGTACATAGTTTTATGGAATAAATTATTCTTTTATTATACTTAGGCAATGTCTAATTTAATAGGATAGATTTATTTTTTAAATAAATTGTTTAGCCTGACACATGAAAATTTAATAAAAATCTTACAGTACAGCATGAATTTGGCCTCCATTATCAATTTAGTGTTTTTATTTTTTAATATCTTCAAATCAATATTAAATAAATGATTTGAGAATACCTAGGTAGGAAATCACGCCTAATATTTCATGCAATATATGCAATATATGCAATATTACAAAAATGTATGTACCTAGCATCTGATGATTGCATTTCCATTTAAGCATAAGGATTTAAGATCGCTTTAAGATTTTTGCAAAAAATACAAACTGCTTTAATTTCTCATTTGCATTTCATAGTCGCTATATTTTCTTATAGGTAGTTAAACCCTGCACCAGGGACTTCCTTTCTAGGGTATACCTGGTTCCCCGGCTATTAGTACCCGAGACGGCGTGCGGTTATCCGAGGGGCTTTCCGCAGGGAAAAAAAAAAAAAGTTAAACCCTTTTAGTTTTAAATAAACTTTACCTTAAACTTCTTGGCACGTTCGGGTAATGACGAAAATTCGTAATTAAAAGCATGAATATGCAGTGCTTATAGTGCAGAATATGACGCGAACGGATATACACGAGACGACGACTTCATTGGTTTCTCAAATACAGAGTTAAACACCTCTAAATTGTTAAGCAATACCTTAGTATACACCTTAATAATTTCAAGATACCTATCTTGTTTCAGTAATAGAGCATTAAATATATACAGTACACTATTAAATTATAATAAAATAATAAATGTGCAAGTAGCTCTGTCTGTTTATTATTATATTTGCACGGCTAAAACTATTACCCATGTTAATATTATTGGCTATAGAGACAGGGAACGATGAAGAAAGACTTAAGTCAGTATACTTTTCGCGGAAACTTTAAGGTGGAATAAAAATGTACTTGTATAATCGAAAAGAAGGCTCGGGCACTTGCTGTACCTATATGTACGTATATGTAACGTAGGTACGTTCAGAAACTACATTTACAGCAATCGTAAGTATGTAAATTAATCGTAAAGGGCTAAGTAGGTTAGTATGTGGCTCGTTGCGCCATAAATGGTTCTTATCAAGAGAGTTAATGTATTTACCTGTTCACAGCATGATCCAATATAGATAAAGTTCTAAAGTGTTTTCTATGTAAATACAATATAAAAGACAAACTTCGAAATAGGGTATTGATTTTTATCATTGTTAAATTTTATCATTTACATTAGAAGGCTTTTACATCAGTAAAGCAAATAAATTTACTGAAGATACTTCATATTACCTGTACCGAAGGATATGTTCGACCGTCGACTACGAAAAGGTTTTACATTTTTTTGAACCAAACCACTTCCAAAAAACCAAAAACATGCCAATTTTTAAAACTACTTTAGATTAAGAAAATAATGCCTTAACTTATGTAACACAAAATCTAAAAAAATTAAAAAAGGGACCCTTATAAGATTACTCTCTTGTCTGTCTGTCCGTGTGTTACCACCGATTTTCTCAAAAGAGGGTGGACTTAGAAAGTTGAAATTTATACCAAATACTGAGGTCTATAGTTCCTATTAGGTGTATAAAAATCACGGTCTTGACTGAACGCGTTAAAAAGATATGGGCAAATTTAGATTTTCGCGAAAACTTGTAAGTACAGAAATTTACCTTAATTTTGAACTTTTTTTTATTTTTCGGAATTTTCCCTTTGCTTGTGCTGTAAGACCTTGTTTTTTACCAAAATTGACATTGAATTCTAGGTCAAGCGGAAGTACCCTATGGGTTTTGGGTCGAAAACCTATATGGTAGTTCCCATTGACCTTGAATCACGAAATTTGGCAAAAGCAAGCCTACAGTACAAATGAAGGAAAAAATCCAAAAAATAAAAAAAAGTTGAAAATTATTATAGAGAAGTCGGTTAATAACGGTACGAAATTCTTCGTGCGCGAGTCCTGTTTTTTACACGCTTTATATTAGCTTCACTTGTATGTTTGTATGTTTGTTTGTAACCGACTCCTTTGGGCTTGATTTTGACTGACTTTAAACGGTCAGAATTCGTTCAAACTTTGTAGATATATCGAGGACCGATGACAATACACTAATTAAAAAAAAAACCGTTGGGTGCCTGTTGTCAATAGTAAAAAGCACCCCACGCTTTTTTTCAAATTTATTAAAATTTATTTTCTATTTTTAGTTTGGTTTTCTATAAAAGGCGTGTTTTTGAGTTTTTTAAAACTATTTTTTTTTTTATTTATCACTGCACCAGAAACACTGGTGATTTAATACCCTGTCGGTGACTTCACACGTTAAATGCAAAATACAATCACACACATGTTCTTAATTACGGTAAGCCACACAACAGTTAATCGTTTCGATTTCCGTGTATTGACCTTCTCGATTAGTATGTAATATACAAGCACTTGACCTATACATATGTATCATAAGAACACTGTTGTGAAACTGTTTGCTGAAACTATGAGGTTTTAGTTAGCTTTTAAATGTTATCAAAACATTTAAACATTTAAAATTTTATCAAAACATTTAAAAGCTAATATATGTTTTTTTTATTTAACAAAAAACTACATTATGTCGTAAGGTTTAGACAATATGCATATCACACACATGCCAATTATTTGCATGAATAGGAAAAATGCGTAGAACATAGACGAACGGAAAGTAGATTTTACGACATCAAAAATAATTGTTTGTTATTTATTTCAGTTTGTGAACGGAAAATCGGTGCTTTTCCATGAAATCGGGCATCTGCCGTTCGAAGCTGAGATCACAGATGTAGTAAAGTACAACACCAGCAACCTGCTCACAGTCGTGGTGGACAACACGCTGCTAAGTGACACTATTCCACAAGGGTCCATTAAGGATATTTATGTGGGGTGAGTGCTAGTTACCGGGTATATAAATGGTAATCTTCACAGTTGCTTTGTGCACTAGGGGGTACCATGGGGAAGATGACTGGGCTGGACTAAGTAATATGAGGTCTATATAACTACATAAGCATCAAATTGTTCATTGTATTGTAAATAAATATTATTTGATTTCGTGTAGATAATCAAATTGGAGCACTAAACAAAAATGTAACCTCCCCCTCCCTCCACCTGAGTTAAAGCAGAATCGGCCCCTGCTTGGTGAAGACTTAAGATCGTGTGCAATCTCCTAGTTCCTTAAAACTTACGGTAAAACTTAACGTTATTTAAAATATTGTTTGCAATACTCATTAAAGTCTGCACCGTCATAGAAACGTAGACGACTCTGCACTTACTTCCTTCTAGCAAAAACGTTTAGGTACTTATATATAAAGCACCTATAGAGACTGCTTTAAAAAGTAATCTGAAAATAAGGGTCCGTTATGATAATTTCAGGGAATTTTCAGGGAAATTTATTTTTCAGGGCTGGAGGTCCTATGTGCTTAAGTCTTAATTCCAGTTACCAAGTAACTCAAAACCAAAAAAATGCCCTTAGTTCATTGCCTTAAGCCTCAAGAGTTATCGAGGGTCTTAGTAACGTGTAATAATAATTGTTGTTATTACAAGATTTAATTACTTTTATTGATATTCATAACATATAAATTTAACACGATGTTGATAAATTGTTTCATTGCGGAGTTAATAACTTGGTTACGTAATTTCATTGTTACGTTACGAAAATATTACAAATGCGCGTCGAATGCAAACACTAATATGTTAATCTTTACATAGTATAGAATAAAGTCGTTTTTTGTTGTTGTTCGCTTAGATCTTTCAAACTAAGCATCTGATTTGAATGCGGTTTTCACCAATAGAGAGAGTAATACAATAGGAAGGTTTATATGTCTAATACATGCATATTATAGTAGAGAAAATTCTAACATTTCAAAGATTTGTCGTAAAACACATGTTTTTGTGCGATTACATTTGCAAACGCTGTAAGAAATTGTGTAGCTAATTAAAAGCTTGCATATAAAATGTCCTGTAGTATAGTCTTATCATAATAATAGTTTAGTAATTACTCCACACTGACACCACATTAGTTATAGTAGAATCTAAATTGCACCTGTGCGAAGCCGGGGCGGGTCGCTAGTATACAACATTTACATATGCAATAAAACAGTTTCAATGGTGGTTCAAAGTAACTGCAATTACATTAGAAGAAGCAATAAAAACAATCAATGCTTTTAAATGTCAAGATCAATATATTATACAAGGCAAATAAATTATATAAATATTCTGTTTTTTCTTCTTTGATTTGATTGTGATAGAAGTAAAGAATTACATCCCCTATTCCTGCCGCGTATGGGATTACTGGTTAAGTTCTGAAGTGTATATAGTGTATACCTCAACATAGTAAACCTTGATGTAACCGTTAATGCTACAAGACTGGTCAATCATCAGAGTACTGTAATACTTCACAGTCAGTGGGTAGGATCTCTAAGGCACCATAGGAAGTGGCACAGAGTTGAGATGCACGCACAAATGCCGTGGCCTAGTGTGAGTTTACTTTACATCAACTCGATAGTGACCGCATTCGGCGTTGCGATTGGCCCACACTGAACTCTTCACCAATCGCAACGCACACTAGACCTTCAGAACATAAAAGAAGCTATCAATTAAAATTGATTTGATTTGATTCTTAGCTGGCTTATAAAAGTCATCTCTTCTTTCTCTGGCGACAATCGAGATCCACGTAAACGTAAATCACACGTAAACGGATTGCTAGGAAAGCTAAAATAAAAAAGGAAAGCTAAGTATCTAATGAGAGTCCAACAAACAGACACAAAAGTAGCTTTAACTAATTTTAACCAACCAATTTTGAAGTTCTGTTAAGATTTTTCTTTAAATTATTACACCATAAATCTACTCCATGCATCTACTGTTCTGTTAAACAAAAGTTTGTGCGTGTGTTGGCGAGCCTTGGCCAAACATTTGTAGCGCTGGTTTAAAATCGATAATTTTGTTCAAAATTTGATATTATTTATTAGTTTAAAGCTTAAAATACAACTTATTCTTCATGTACTTACCGAAAGTAAGATACTCCGGCCGTTAAATTTCGTTTTCGGGAATTATTTTTGCAATTTTGAATACACACTGCGGCACTGTGAGACGTGTTTACATTGGCTGTGTTTTAAGCGTACCAAACAAAATAAGAGCTCACGTCTCAAGTGCGCTCTTATTTATCGAGACGTATTTTTTGCGCCGACCCGATATCTAGTTGCTATTGTTGATCGAAGATACACACTGATAAGCTAATGAATAAGCTTAAATAGGCTCAGGATTTTTATGATACCAATAAATTTAATGTCTATAGTCGCAGTAGTTTTTAATATCTATTTTAACTCATCAAAATCTAGTTGTATTATATAATAAATATAATCAAGATGTAACAATTAAAAACTAAACTTGTACCTTGTTATTTTAAACTTATAGTGCTCTTTATATGTTTCAGTCCAAAAAAGATCCGCCAGGAGCAATCATATACGTTTGATTTCTTCAACTACGCGGGCATACACCGCAGTGTGTATTTGTACTCCACCCCTGAAACCTACATTGATGACGTAATTGTCAATACGGACATACAAGGCCTGACAGGTACTTATAACAATGTTAATTAAGCACTTGGAACACAAATCTATTAGATTACCAGAATAGTATCATAATAAGATGAAAATGTCATCTCAATGGTAGAAAGTGCTAATGAAAAAAGTAATTTAGTAACGTTAGATGCATTAAACTCAGCTTCATATTTTTACGTTAAATATTTTCGATTTAAATTGTTAAATTTCATTTACAGGTTTTGTAGTGTACAATGTGACCTACAGAGGCTCGAACGCTGAGAAAGTTCAATGCTTAGTAGAAGTTTTCGACAAGAATGACACGCAAGTAGCGGGCTACAACGATTGCGCTGGTCTGTTAGAGATTGGTAACGCTAAGTTTTGGTTTCCATACTTAATGCACCCTGAACATGGCTACTTGTATACGTTTAAGGTATTTATGGTTTATCTTTATCTATGTGGCTTAAAATAAAAATGGTAACCAGACTGCTGAAAAACATACTGATATATTTTTATACTTATTACAATACTTAAGACTTAAAACATTCATATTATAGATATATTACACCCATACACAGAGCAAATGATCGTGCTCATCACAAAATTATTTGTCCTGGGTGGGAATCGAACCCATGACCAACTGATACGTATATAATATAGATACAGAAAATAGATTTGAATAAATAATCAGGATTTAGATTGATTATTACCCGCTTGGTGGTAATAAATGGTTTAAGATCGAAACCAATCCAAACCGAATCTATAGACTTTTAAATATGACATCAATAATTTTTAATGAACATGTTGTAAATGTGTTGAACATTTTTGTTCAAATCATTTAATTGACTGTGGAATTATCAAAATATTAGTAGTATAAAAGAAAAATTAATACTTTTTGTATCCAATTAAGGAGCCGGTTACTTATTAACAATCGATACGTGAATTTTACAAAACTCTGTTTAATCGAGAATCGTTTTAGGTGCCCTCTAGTTGTTTACCTACATTCTTAATTATAATAAATAAAAAATGTTTGATCAACCTTCCAAAAATTTTGAAATATTGTTTATTATCTATGGTTCACATTTTAAAATTTTCGAATTGTTAAACTATTTCTCCATACGTTAGGCAATACCTACCTCAGTATTTCATTTTGCGTCTTGTGCTTGGGTAGTCTGCAAATTTAATATTATTAATTAGTAGTTAGTGATCCTGGCTACTAAGCCAGTATGTTTATTAGCAGTCTGGTTACCATAGCAGGCTCTGTCTAGTTTGGGATCTACACAACCGTGCGTGAGATGTGGGACGTTATTATTAATTTTATTCAGGGAACACAGGTTGATTAATAGTGAAATTGTTTGAAACCACTTAATGAAAATGTAAAATAAACTTGATTATATAAAGAAGAGTCCTGACTGTTTTCTTGTAAAATTGATACTAGCCATCCTTAAACTTTGGGCCGTCGCGGAACGTCTAGCAGATGTGAAACATTGAAATTATTTCCTAGAAATAATGAGTTAACCTGTGAAAGGAAACAATAAATATAGCGCCATTAAAAATATAGTTATACGCATAAAGCAACCCGGTACCGGTGGCCTGTGTTGTTCTATGGCCATACGACATTATTACATGTGACTTATTGCCACGCCACGCCAACAGAATGTCTGACCCTTCTCATTAAATGCTTCTTATCAAAGTATTTTACTTTTAAATTAATATTAATCATTTAAATTCAAATACACTAAAAAATTGCAAAAATGTTTTTGTTCAGTGCCACAGCCAAAAAAAACAATTTGCAAAATATCCTATCTTGTAACCATATCGTTGGTTTTAAACGTGCATTGTTAATGACACCACTGAGGAGTCGTATACAATTTTTTTTGGTAACGACCCCACTGCTGACTAGTGGTGTATAACGTAAAATAAAACTATTCGTTATGTGTTAATTTTTAATGAATATGTTGAAATTGGTCGAGTTTATAAGGGATTCGTAATTCGGTGAACAATTCGGTTAAAAATAATAACATTTTTCGGTTCTGTGGTGTCGTTGACAATACAAGGTTTTAAAGACATAGATGCGTGAATTAAAGGTATAGGTGCTTTGTTGCTAATAATCAAATCTACAATTTGGCAGTCTCCGATTTTTATTAAATAATATTTAATTTTCAGTTGTTAACCTCTAATGTGATACTAATTTTGACACCAGTACTTAGGTACCGGACTCTATTGTTACGTACAATTATAGTAATTATGATTCTCTGTCTTCAGGTGTCTCTAATAGGTTCGTTGGGGGAAATCCTGGACACTTATAGCCAGAAAATTGGTATTAGGACAATAACGTGGTCGAACACAACTATTTTCATAAATGAAAAGCCTCTATACATGAAAGGATTCGGTATGCACGAAGACTCTGATGTAAGTATTTCTAACTATTAGTCAGTCAGCTTTTTAGTAAACCATTTACAGATTATTCTTGTAAGTTATTCTATCTAAAGAGTGTCCAAAAGTGTTCTACTTACTACCTTATTCTGCTTTATATTAGAAACTAAACTTGTCCATCTAAGTTTTTATAAATTGTATAAATTTTCATGATTAGTAATCACAACAAAAATGTCAAATTACAGAAATAACGTATGTACAAATGTCAGTCTAGGTAAATTTCTAAAACAAATCTAAACAGGATAAAAAAAATTAGAATTACTTACAAAAATATACATTGTATACTGTTTTGTGAGGTTCATATTTATACACGAATATTTTTTAAATAAATAAATTTAATGTAATTAAAATCATTTAAAATTAATTAATTACAAATAATTAAAACCACAACAACAAAGACATGATGTTGCGATAGTTATATTGTTGGAGTCCGAACCACTAAAACGGGAGGGACTTTGTATGTTACATCGACGCGCGAAATATCATCTAGATATATATTTTTAAAGAGATATTTTTAGTTAAAGATAATTATATAACATCTTTAATTATTCTTTAACTAAAAATATAAATCTCTTTTTACAGTTACGAGGTAAAGGCTGGGACCCTGTGCTATGGGTCAAAAACTTTAATCTAATCAAATGGCTCGGAGCAAATGCATTTAGGACATCACATTATCCATACGCTGAAGAGATCTACCAGCTCGCAGATGAGTACGGTATCATGATCATCAACGAGTGCCCTGGAGTAGACATTGAGTGAGTAGTCTCTTCCGTATATTTTCTGACTCTTCATTAATTTGCTTTCTCACTAGACAACAAATTGATAAAGAGATATTGATCGGAGTATCCACTGATACTCTGAGTATTATCAACATATTTTCTCAGAACACACGGCTGGCACACTCACAAATTTAATATATCTATAGCTTGGTTGTTTGCTTACCTTTCCAGGTAAGCAAACAGCTAATGGCCTAGGCATCATCATCATCATCATCATCATCTCTTTGACAGTGCTCCGCGAACTGTTACTGGTTTCTCACCACATAAGGAAGAAACTTTTCTTTGTCCTTTCTTTGTTTGAATTTTGTTTATTCCAAAAACCTTATTCAAACTGTTTTTGACTTAACAAAAAACTGGCAATTTGGTTCTTCCATTCTCAAGTTTTGCACTTAATTTGCATATAGCCATTTATTTTTTATTTTTCGTTGATAGAGTAAAAAATATTTTTATTCCTATTTTATTACTGTACGTAAACGGCTTAAGAACGTATTTTGCCAAAGCTGTGTTAATAATATTATTCTTTTACAGTATCTTTACGAATAATCTGTTGGCTAAACACAAGCAGTCCATAACAGAGTTGATCCGGCGCGACAAGAACCACCCGAGTGTGATCATGTGGTCCATCGCCAACGAGCCCCGATCAGGCAACAAACTCGCTGATAAATACTTTGGGTACTAGTTGCTTTTTATTATTCGACCTCCTTTTTAAAATAAGATTGCAAATAGTATAAGTTACCCTATTACATTATGGCACCCGGACAGGTGGTAAAATGTAAATGCGATTTTTTTAATGGGATGTTTTTGTCTAATTTTGTTTATCAAACTAACCGTCTGCCACAACCGTCTAACCGTCTACACGGTATTCCAACGTCAGGATATGCCAGCATTCCGGTGTAGGTTTTGCAAAATTTGTCGTACCTTTGTAAGTGGTATCGGGTACACTAACACAGGATTAGTTGCAGGTAAAATCAATGAATTTAGGTTCTGTTGAAATATTTGCCTTCAAAAAAGCTTATCGCGCTAAATTTTATGGAAATCCGATATCACCTATCGAATTTCCTTGGAGGGTCATTGATTGATAATATAATAAATTAGTTTCAGCACAATGTTTTTTTAAACATTCGTTTAGTACACCGCTTAAATTAAAGCTTGTTATTTGAAAAGTTTTGCCTTGTCTGTAACAGTTAAATAAATAAAATCAATGACCTAGTGACATCCAAAAATGTTGTCGGTTCGATTAAAAGTAACATTTAAAAAGAATCCTTTTTTCGCCCGGTTTATAAGCATAAAAATCTTTGCGACCTCTTCAACAATAATCGTCATATTTCAGTCAATTTACATAAAACCATCATGAATTATACACCTAAACCTTCCTCAGGAATCACACTATCTATTAGTGAAAACCGTACAAAAATCCGTTCGGTAGTGTTTGAGTTTATCAGACAGACGCAGCCGGGGGACTTCATTTTATAATATGTAAGGATTAAGGATGTTTTAGTCGACGGAGTCTCGTGGATTGGCAATAAGTAATTGGCACTAATACATTTAATGGCCCAATGGAACTCCTGATTTTAAAAATTGAAAACATAGTCACGTTGTTGAAAACACGCACAAATAATGTAACACGTCGCCTTCAACTTGTTGAAATTTTCGATTAACAAACTTGTCACGTTCTGTTATTACTTTGACAATGGAATTTTACGTTCAAAGCAATAGCCATAGTTTACTTTCTCAAAAAAAAAGTTATGTAACCAACCAAACGCGACAGTAATATCTAGGTAAGGAACGGCAACTAAAGGCGGGTTGTCATTCTCTAAACATCTATCTAATGCGAAAGGTCAGACCGGATGTTGCCGTAGCGACACGTCGCCACTGTATGCGTCGCCATGCTATGTGATAGTATAAGTAACATGTACTGCGGTGTGGCGATGTGTGTGTTTTTAGATCCTTTCATAAGCTATTATTTTATACTCATTATTTCGGTTTCACATCTACGAGACGTCTCGCGAGAGCTCATTTATTCTGATGTCAAAATTTGTTTTCGTTGTTAAATATTATGTTAATATTACATAATTTAAAAAAATACACTAACACTGATCATAAATTTTAAAAATAATAATAATCTGCACCCGATTCTGGATCTAATCCAACCCAACTGTATCAGACGAGCGGTTTAGGAGTAATTTAATGACATACACACGTACAGTAACAGGGGGATTTTTTTTTTAAAGCGGTTATTTAGAAGATCATATTTTTTAAAATGTGGTCTAGTCTTTTACATTATTTCTTGTTTTACAGAGAACTGGTGAAACACGTTAAATCTATGGATCTATCCAGGCCCGTTACTATCGCCATATCTGTTAATGCTTTACTTGATAAATCAGTAAGTATCTCAAGATCACTTTTATTGAAATTGAATTGAATAAACAATTTTGGATTCAACAAAAGTGTAGTGCAATGATGACCAGTCGTCTACTGTCGAATATTATTTATTTATATAACTTAATACACAAGTTGTACACAGGCGGACTTAATGCCCAGGGCGTTCTCTGCCATTCGACCTTCTGGTGATGTAGATAAATGATGCGGTAGGAGCAAGAGAAAACAGAGATTTTACCTTTATTTATATTAAATTTATTAATTCAAGATAAATAACTTACATATATACAATACATTCAGATGTTACTACAATATATACAGATCATATTATTATGTGACTACTACATATAAAGCTCGTTTGAGTTTTGTTATTTTAGACTAGACCTTTTGCAGATGATTTTATTTATTTATTTATCGAGTCTTTTAATTATTTGAAGAGAGCATTCAGGTTTTTCTGATTATTTTATGGTTAACTATAATATTTTAGTGGCAAAGTAATAACGTACAGTCCCTACTCCGTCCTGGACTCCTAGGGGAATACTACTTAGCCATAAGTCTATTTTCAGCTCATTTGTTCTTCTCAATTTCATTTGTTTTGTATCTGTGTAGTTTAATCATAATATATGTATTTGGAAATATATAAGTACCTATGTTTATCAAGCAATCTGGTTACCGCAGCACAGTCTCAGCCTAGTTTGTAATCAGACAGACGTGTGTGAGATGTGTCAAGTTAATATTAAAATAAACCTGTATGTAAATATTTGTAGTGAATAAATTCTTTTCGAATGCAATAAAATAACATTAATCGTAAAACGCAAACTTTCAGGGTCGTCACTTGGACGTGATAATGTTTAACCGATACAACGGGTGGTATAGCAATTCAGGCTCAACAGTTCAGATCGCACATAACGTGATAGAAGAAGCCACCAACTGGTACCGCCTCCACTCCAAACCAGTTATCATGAGCGAATACGGAGCTGATACCATAGCGGGCTTGCATCTGGTTAGTAAACATTTTACGGTATTTAGCCATAAACAATTACTTAATACCTACCTGCAGACGTTGTAATTACATAGAAAGGCATGCAGTATTAATATCATACACACCAGCTTTCGAGAGACTCATCACTAGGAATTGATGATGTGTAGTTTAGCTCCACTCATATGTCAAATAAAAGCGTGAAAATCTGGTAATGAATAAGGATATTAAACATCAATTATGTCAAACATCAATTATAAAACATCAAAATAATTATGTTCAAATATCATTGAGCATAATTATATTTCAAACTATATTAAATCATCAATTAAGAACTTCGACCCCCGTTGGAATTACATACTTACGACTACAAATTTACGACCACTACACCTGTTGGTTTAAGTCGTATAACCAGGGCCGGCTTTAGGGAGGGGTGGCTTAACTTCACCACTTAATTATAAACCTATGCCTATCTATTGAAAATAAAAATAAGTTCAACGTATTAAATTAACTTCAACTCATCTTGTATATCTCATATCATTTTGTCACTTGTCGGGAGGGTAAGTTATTGAATATCTTAATAGATTATAACCTATTTCGATTCAAAGTTCAATCAAAATCCCTTTAGTAGTTTTTGCGTGGGAAGGTAACAAACATTCATTCATTTATAATATTAGTAAGACATAAAAGGGCACCAAATGCATGACTCGCCCGGGGCGCCTAAATGGTTAAAGCCGGCCCTACTTAGAACCATATACTAATTATATACTATAACAATAAATACAGCGTGTATAGTTACAACATTCTCAGCATCAAGTCATCGCCCTTGACCGTTTTTTTTGAAGGACAATTATAAGAAAAAAGTCTGAGTGACTTTTCCAGTCCAAGCTTATTATTTACATTTTGTTTCATGTTTTTTTTGTAGTATCCCGAGTTCATCTGGTCGGAGGAATATCAGTGCGCACTGTTGTCCGAACACTTCAAGGCGTTCGATCACCTACGACAGGTTGGCTTTTTCGCTGGAGAATTCATATGGAATTTCGCTGACTTCAAAACTGCACAATGTAAGTACCTCTTTACTAACGGGATGCGAATGTCATAATTAGATTTCGTATTTTAATTCTCGATGTTTATAGGCTACTATTAAGTAGGTTTACTACCTAGATAGGATTTCAATCTTTAGACACATGCACACGTCGATTTTTTCTAGAAGAAAAAGATAGATGCTTCTAAAATTTCCTATGACGTCTTCAGAAGAAACGCTTAAACAATATTAACTTAAACAGGCTATTTTGATTACTTGTAGACTTTCTCAATGTCACAGTCTTTACGTAATAGCTGTACTTAAGGATACTACAATTTTGACTTGTTAATTATGTAGGCAGGTCTTTGAAAGTTTCCAAGCCTCGTCGGGATCGCCCCAAAATTCAAAATGGACGCAAATGGTACCGATGCAACCGTAAGCGATACTTACATGATTATAAGAATGAATATTTCATGAGTATCGTTTTACATTTATGTATATTTAGATACTCGTTTCTGGTGGTGGTTTGAAATTGCAACTGTACTAGCATGATTTGTGAATGGATTGGGAATGTTCGGATGAAATGAATAGTATCTCGCATTATCAAACTTGCAGGTTCTGTGACAATAGTCACTGGGTACAAAATTATCTGGATAAGTGAGCTTCTAGTATAAATTATAAAATATGTTCCAAGAAATCCGGTTCCATACTTGGATAATCGAAAAACTCGACCATTGTGCACTTTTCAAGTAACTTTTTGCCTCGCTACACGAATTTTTAGAATAAATTGTCGCCTGCGGTATTACCGGACTGATATGACCTCCAAATCTTCAAAACAGAGGTTTCTCCTTCAAAGCCGGCAAAGGCTATCATCGTCATTATATTGGAGTAGAAGGAAGATCTTGCGTCAGAAATTCCTTTATTGTACATGTACATGTATTGGATCTTAACGATATATTTAGTATTATTACTTTAAGACCCATATCGACTTTGCATTCTTTTTAATTATGATTTTACTTCTTGCACTTCATTTTTCGCTTTTTCGTATGCAAGAAATTGAGTTTGAAGTATTACTATCTTCATTTATTTTAAGCATCGTAAGCTTAGCTAGGCCCTGTTCAGTGTCATGCTCAGACTTTCTAGGGGTTGATGGTTGTATTTAGAAATCACAACAGTCATATCTAAAAGGTACTAGTCTAGATATTACTGTTGTAAGACTAAAACAAAATTGGCAGGCCTCGCAAAATTTAAAATATATCTGTCGGTCTGAAGATCAAAATGCTTACAAAAGCCTTGCATTATTTTAAGCATGAAACGCATAATAAGGTTTACAGAAATCCAGCATGTTGTTACGAGCGGTGTATATAATAAATAAAAGTTGTCGTTTATTTACTTTATTTCACTGTATGTACAAACACTCACTATAATAAACTAGAGATCACTAGGTATATATCTTGTAAGTCGCACTAGAAATTCACTCCGATGTTAATTTGCTATGTCGTAAGCGAGACTGTCCGGCAAACGGCTAACACGCTCCGCTTTTATAGCCCTTTTGAATTTTACTAGAAAGATCAATAGTCCGTTCCAGACAACAAGATATTCCAGAATCAGTCACGGTCCGTGTCGTGACGGATTAAGAATACAGAGTCACCACCCTATTCATCCCGTGGGTGTCGTAAAAGCCGACTAAGGGAAAAAACTACGCATAACAACATCACTGCAGAGAGAAGGAAAACTTGACACAAACCCTATACCAACCCGTATGGCCAGCGAGGTATAGTAGGCCAAAACCTCCTTTGTAAGGAGAGGCCTATGTCCAGCAGGGGACTGTTAAAGGCTGTTGATGTGATGATGTGAGTCACGAGTTACTTGCAGCGCCATCTAGCGTTGTAAGGATCAGAACTACTCGTATTAACCACAATCTTAATAGATGTACTTGAGTCGATACTAGATGGCGCCATCCTCCTCATTCCATACAATCGCACCATTTAATCCTATGGCGCAACAATTTTAATTAAATTATAATTATATTTTTTGTATAGTAGACAATGGCAATGGAAATGACAAGAAGCATGTAGATCTTGTTAATGGATTTATGTAGCTTAGCAGACTGTAGCGATTAATTTGTGTCAAACAATACCAAAGTGTCATCGACATTAGAGCCACTATATTGTAATTGATATCTTGGGGATAATATAATGAACGTTCATATTCATTAGGTACCATAAGTGTTTATGTTTATCTGTATTCACTATAAAAGACAGCACGAGTACTCTTGTAAATGATAAAATAACTTCCACTTTGCAGCAATCACTCGCGTGGGCGGCAACAAGAAGGGTATATTCACGCGCAATCGTCAACCAAAGGCTGCAGCTCACCACATCCGTGCGAGGTACCACGCTATAGCAGCGTCTGATTACGGTATACCAAAAATAGACACATCTTACTACGTCAGCGATAACCAGCCTGCCAAACATAACGAATTGTAACCGACACGTGACGACTTAGCCATAGGCGTAGCAAAAAACTATCCTGGAACAAGGAGACTGCACGTTCCAAAAAGTAATAGCAGAGGATTCCGACTTGCTCTTTACAAATTCGTTGCAAATCAACGCCATTTTGAAACCCAAATGTTGGTATTTTTAGTCCTTATAACTTGTAACCATACACTGATCGCAAATTAATCAGTTAACAAACATTGCATTTAAAGATCAAAATTTAAATATTTTTAATTGAGTAAATGTATTCACACAAATGACTAGATACGATCTTCGTTTGGCGAGGGCTTATGCAACAATTTATATCTAAAAATATTTTTGTAACTTATAGATCGTGCTGGGATGTTTATTTTTTAATTGTAGGTACATTTACAGTTATAAATATCTATCGTAATTTATATTGTAACAATATTCCAGAGCTACGTCAATGGTCCCCGCCATAATAATCACCAAATAATATACATATTATAAGTTATAGCGTACGTTCACATGAATAGGCATTGAGAACGCGTTGGGTTGTACTATATTCTAAGATATTTAATCCGACACGCAATTATAACGCTCGTTGAAACGGGGACGATTCGAACAAAATCCGTGTACTTGTTAATACACGTCTTCTGGACATACTTAGTCCTAATGTTCTCCCAGAAATGCCGCATAGCAAGTGCATTTTGTATGTACTTGCACATAATGTTGTGCCACTGGGGTGCGTGTCTATGCATCGGTACTTAATAACAGATATTAGCACTTTCTATATAGAATACATTTTATTATTAAGTTCAAATACATTTTATTATTTTACTAAAACTATAGTTGTAGTAAAAGTGTAAGATAGGTATACATACCATGACCAAAATGTTTTACGCTTTTGTTAAGTCGTAGTCCACGACTTATCGTGTGCAACATTTAAGTTTTTAACTGGCCCGAAAAAGAAGTGCTTTCAATTTTCTGATAATTTCTTTCACAATTTTTTTAAACTGAGTATTACTCAAAAATATATAAAAAAAAATGGTCGAATTTCAAGTCAACGAACAAAATTTACGTTTATTGTACAATATGTTGCTGCATTATAACTTTAATGTACATACCTACTATTAATGTAAGTTTTATTAAGATTAAATAATTCAGTAGAAAAATCAACTCCGAATCAACCGATTCGACTAAGACGTCGCCTACGATAAGTTGGCGGTCACAGCGTATTTTTTCTAATAGAATTTAAGCACAACAGGGTCAAATGACAACTTACACAGTGTAATAATTTAGTAAAAGTGCTAATCGTGTCACATAGTCACACTGTATTTATTACACTGACTTATCAAAGGTCAAAAATGAAAAATAATACGTACCTATCAACAAATACGTATCTCTTAAGTTTACTTCTTGTTAAATGACACTAAATATTGCATTCAAAATAAAGCTTATCAAAGAGTGTTGTGATAAATCTGTTGTATTTTTGTTAAAAAATGTACAATCAAGTGTGTATGACAGTATGAAAAAAAAACATTTGTAATTATTATTGATAATGGAATAAATATAAAACGTATGAATTTTATGTAATGAGAATATTAATTTATTGTAATGGCAATAAAGTACAAAAATTATGTCCTATGTTTGTTTTATTTTTATTACCTTTCAGTTCTTTTTAAACACGTCATACTTTTACAAAATGGTACCACCTAGTCTTGGGGCCTTGCTTTTATGTCTAACGATTTTCTTTGCATTTTGACCCCCACCCTTATCTTTGTCAAAGCGTGTGACAAAGATGGGTTTATGACCTTCGATCAAATAAACTAAGAGCAGCTCCTATCTTAGTTTTATCTGCATTTCAGTAATTTTTCAACAAAATCAATATCAAACCAAACATTTACAAAAATTAATATTAAATAAAACATTTGAAAACTTACGAAATAACGATGAATGCCATTATTATGAACAATTCAAATTTGGCTTTTTTATATTTAGATATAATTGGGTTTTGAAATTTAACTTCACGAAACTTGGACCCCTCCCAGTTCCCACCCCTTGTCACTTTGTATCACACCGTCGACCGCCCGTGTGACGTAATTTATGGAGGACCCCTTGTTTTCTAATTATACCTATTTTATTTATTTATATAGGTATACGACGTAACACTTTTCTATCGTGGCTATCTAGGCTTGCTAAGTATTAAATCCGGCAAGGCACCAAATGAGCATGATCTATTAAATAAAAATCAACTAAAATAAATATTTTTTGTAAAAAATATTTATTTATTATACTTATATAATATATTATTTAATATATATTATATTTATTATTAGATTTAGCTCACCTACATCTACATGATGTTTGAAGGATATAATTTAAAATACTTATTACTTGCTACATAATAATAAAAATTCTACGAGAGCCTCTTATTACCTCGTAAATCCAAAAATTGATCTTTAAGATCTAAAAGATCCAAACTCCAAAATCCAAAATAAGGTTAAAATAAATTACATATAAAAGCTTTGCTCATAGCAAAGCTTTTATATGTAATTTATTTTAACCTTATTTTTTAAGCATTGTTCTAATGCAGAAATAAAATGAAATTCTAATTTCCCTTAAAATCAGAATAAAAATGAAATTTATAAGATATTGTTTTTTTTTTGTTTCGTATTCCTAACAATTACTTGAAAATAAAAACAACGTAGAAAATTAAACTCTTTCTCTTTGTTGATGGTTAATTACTATTTCTTCGGTGTAGAAATTAAAGAAAGTACTATTAAAACTAGGTGGAATTTAAAATCTATCTTTAAATGGCAAAAAAACATTAGTAAAACCCATAAGTGACTTTTCCACCAGAAAACTTGATACTAGAAAATGGCAACGAATTTCTTACGATTTTCGAAAAAACAAGAAAGGTCTTCTGATTTTTACCCATTTTACATTTTTATTCTTTCATTTTGTCTATATATCATCGATATTCCCCACCGACTTTAAGAAATTCTTTTTTATCCTAATTTTAGGGGGAACCCGAAATGGATTAGCCAGCCTACATAAGTAAAATTTCAGACTTAATAGCTTCATTCACTCGCTCTCAATAAAATAAAGAAATATAATATACGTAAACAAGCACGAACGTAACAAAAAACATTTAATTTTTATGTTCCTATTGCCCAATAATTTAGGCAGATATTTTGTTTTAAAAATAAATGTAATTTACAATTATTATTTTTTGTTCTTTTACTCACTTCAAACCTCTCTCGCTCATACAAACCTTTCTTTTATTCTCATATTAACCTAAATTCAGTTCTTAGAACTTCATTTAGAACATTTTTTTTAAAATACAATTTTTATTCATTGTGTTAAGATTACATAAATATTAACACCCTTTTATAAAATTTGAAATATGTATGATATTTTTTTTTGTACTTTTATTAGGTTATATATTAGAAATTATCATCAACAGCCTTTAATAGTCCACTGCTGGACATAAGCCTCTCCTTAGAAATTATACATACCTATTAAATTGATTTTCCTTCATATTTGGCAGGCTCAATTCTCAAATAATAATTAAGTAATGTTAAAATTTGATCCTATAAAAATAATGTACTAAAGAAACTAAATAAGCTTGAACTCGACCATCATCTATCTAACTCATTTATCTTTAGTCTCACTCGCTCAAGAAACAAATATCGTCGTTGAGCTAGTGAATAAGTGATCTATGAGCTATATTATAACTGAATTACTGATACATTCGGAGCTAAGAGAGAATAAAAAAAGTGTGAGTGAGTGATACATTTTATTGGCGTGAACGATAAATATATATTTTAGATCACTCACTCAGGAGCTACACAACTCATATCCCTACACAGAAACTGTGTGCAGGGATGTGAGACGTACCAACTTCTTGGTATACGTACCATTTTACAGGGTCTTGTACCATGTAACAACTAAATATTTTGTGGGTACGCAATAATACCAACTTTCAACATTGACCATTTATATTTAAAAAAAATCTTATACCTAACAATATGAAGGTTCTTGCTGTAATTCATAGTTACAATATTGATTATCGTAAAAATTTACTGTGCATAATTATATTTATTTTTGACCCATTGAGTATCATACTTCAGATTAACTTTATCAATAGAGCGAATTATCCATGGATGACGGGTATGATTTTGTCAGAAAATAATATAAAAATTCAGTCAATGTAACTCACGTTTGATTTTTACATTTATAAGATCTAATAATAAAAGCGTTAACGAATAATGAGAATAATTACTGTTAGTTATAATATTATTAATAATATTGTTAATTTTTTATCAGGTATGTTTTTTTAAAAATAATTAATAATTTCTTTAATATTTCAAAATTTCATTTAAAAGAACACAAAATAAACGTTTTATTTTTTATTAATATAACGTTATTGTGAGTGTACCAACTTTTTTTTCAAATACCAACTTTTAGAGCCTTTTAGCGACATCTGTACCAGCTCTGGCTCACTACAATCTAACATCCCTGACTGTGTGTCACACAGTCGACCGACAGTCGATTGATTGACAATAACACTGAGAGTAACGTCAAAAACGTGTAAATTTTGTTTTTATATTGTTGTGTGTTTTGTAAAGAAACAATTTGCAAAGATGTGTTGCACACAGTGTAACGTTAATGCTAAATACAAATGTCCCGTGTGCCGAGTTCCGTAGTAGGTATAAATTAACTCGCGTAATGTTATGAATTTAAAGACCACGTTAAAGCTAATACAATTATTCTTATAGTTGCTCAGTTGCCTGCTATAAAGAGCACAAGCGGAATTCGTGTTCAGCTCCTCCAGAACCCGAAAGAGAAACAAATGCCACGGATCAATCAGAAATTGAATATGAATTTCCCACTGAAGACACTGTGGCAAGAGAAATATTACAACTCTTGGGTAAGAGTATTTTTTTAATTATATTTAATCTGATGGCATCAACACAATAATAAAAATAACTTCAAAAATCTTACACACAGTAGTCTGATCCCAAACTAGTACACTAGAACACTAACGTATGTATAATAGATAAGTTACACCTAGACATAGAACGAATTATCGCTTTCATCACACAACCGTTTGTCCTGGGTGGGAATCGAACGCAAACTGCTAAGCCGGTCACTAACAGTTAGACAAACAGACTATTACAGAACTTGCTACACTTAATGTGTGTTGTGTCAGTATAGTTAGTACTAACTACAGCAGTTGTCACAATAACCTTTGAAAATACCGTGAGGTGAAATTGGTCAGGTATAATATATAAATTTTATGGAATAGAACAAGTGACTTAATTCAATACATTAGACCAACAGACCCGTCAACTTGTATTGCCAATAAAGCGAAAATACTCCTATTTAGGTATTTCACTATATTGTTAGCTTGTGTACATGTAATGGCTAAAAATCTATACCATAGTTACTGACAAACAGCTTAATAATGTTTAAATGACTAAAGGTCATACATAACACATTTAAAATTGCTGTAAGAATCAGATTTGTGTACATTTTTCAAATTTATTTAGGAATGGTAACATATTATATTCATGTAATGACTGAACTGATTGAATAGGCCAGAAGGATTCTGAAATATAATTCCAAATATCCTATCTAACAAGGGAGGATGGCCGGCCTATTCTAGCAGATCTATTTCCTCATGAGTGAAAGCAAGAAATGAATACAATTATTATCATTCTAGATCAATAAAATATATCTACTAATATTTTTATCAATCTATAAAAATTGTATAGACTTGATTTTTAGTTGCAACATTATCTTTTTCTTTTTTTAATGCTTTGCTGTTTACAAAAAATACTCAGAAAAAATAATGATAATAATTAAACTAAACACAATTTTTTGGAAATAAAATCAGGCTTTATCATGGCATAACTTTTTTGGAACAGCGTTTTGGTACTTCCCATTAGAACAATACTTATAATAATAATAATATAATAATAAAGCCTTTATTTCTGAAATAATTTCATGTTACATATTTTTGTCTCAGTAAAGTTTTTAAAAGAAAAGTGTATAAAAAGAGTTTATAAAGAAAGTAAAACTTATAAACTAAAACTACACTTTTATTATGTCTCTTGGTGCGGTTTGCCTTACGGCAAAGGCCTCCTCCAAGTCTCTCCATTGCATTCTGTCTGCCGCTACTCTCATCCAAAGTGGTCCTAAGGTCAATTTTAGGTCAACCCCCTATCTTATTGCTTTACGACCTCGGCTCCTAGTGCCATCCCTTGGGTACCAGAATGTCACTTGTTTGCTCCACTTTTCATTCTTGTAGCGGAGCATATGTCCAGTCCATCTCCATTTGAGTTGATTAATACATGATAGTATGTCAGTTAGTTTTGTTTGGCGCCTGATGTCTTTGCTTCTAACTTTGTCTATTAGTTTCAAACCTGGCATACTTCTTTCCATGCTTCTCCGACATCTTGCTAGTTTGTCCCTATGACGTTTCGTCAAAGCCCAGGTTTCACAGCCCTATGTAATGCATGGTAGGATACAGGTGTTAAAAAACTTCTTCTTGATTTTTATGATTTCTTTCAATGCCCAATACTTTTTCAATCCAGTCGCAATTCTTTTGTTTATTTCTTTGGACACTTGGTCTTTTATCATTATTATCTGGCCTAGATACACATATTCCTCTGCATATTCAAGTTTCTGTCCGTTAATGGTTATTTTAGTTTTGTTAGTTTCTAGTCCTACTTCTCTACTACTGTCTACTAGGGTTTGTATCATGGATTCCAGTGTCAGTGGGTCCTCTTCCAATATAACCAGGTTGTCTGCAAATCTTAGATGATTAAATCATACTCTGTTTATGTTTATCCCCAGATGTCCCCATTCCATTTTTCTGAACATTTGTTCAAGCACTGCTGTAAAGAGCTTTGGTGAGAGTGGGTCACCTTGTCTGATGCCCCTATTAATTGGAAAAACATCTGTAGATTCTAGTCTGATTCTAGCTTTGCTTTCACTGTAAATACTGCTGATGATATTAATGTAAGCGTTTTGGATCCCCTGCTCTTTTAGACTTTGCCATACAGATACAATACTTAATGTACATAAAATAACTTTTCTAATGATATATCACATGTTTTTTATTGGTTAGAACACCCATCCTCCTTTTTTTTCATATTTATGATGTTTTTGGCATGAGATAATTTGCTCAGTGAAATATATATTGTGGGTCAAACTTCCTTTATATATTATATTTACCTATTATTAACTATTAATTTACAGAACAATCTGAAGAGTTAAAGAACTGCTTGGAGAATCCTCACGTAAGAGAGATACTGGAGTTGCTAGACGGATCACCACATCCTGACAGGCTGATACAACAATACATGACAGAGCCTATCTTTGCTGAGTTTGTTGATGCTTGCCTAAAAATTGTACAGCCTGAAGACAAGAATGAACGATAAGAAACAATAATTGTTTTATTTAACTTAGTGAATCAATAAGAAAATGATACTATAAGTATTCTTAAAAGACATCTAATTTTTGAAAATGGCATGCTAGCTAAAATGCTAAAATACATAAAAGTACTTAGAGGACTTACAAAGAGAACCTCTCTGGGATGACACTTATTTCCACAAGGTCTGTGTGTCACCCAGAGGGAATTACATGCTCCTCTTGATGTGAAATATTATAACACAGTCCTGGCTAACATTCCTTCACCCTGACATTAACACTGTTTTCTTATTTACTTCACCTCTAAATTAAAACCTACTCAGAGACACCTTGAAAAAAGGTTGTTTACATTTTGCAGCTTGTTAACAAGCTATAAAGCAAACTCTAACTGTTTAAATAGTGATGAAAATAGTGTGTGCATCCAGATCAATAAATTTATTAAACGTGAATTAAAACTGTTTTGATTAAATAACTTGGGCCCTCAATCCAGACGCGTGCATAGTATTATAAATCAGCAATCACAGGTAATAGAATCCCTGTTATTCATTTTTATTTAAGAATTTCGTTTATATTTTCTTAAAAAAAATCTCAAATTCTGTATATACGGCATTAGGTAGAGATTTATGAGGGTATATCTAGGTTCTGTGATGTGATGTAAATAACACTCCAAGGTCGTGAACTGCACGCCGTCTCGGGTACCAGTAGCCGAGGAACCAGGTGTACCCTAGAAAGAAAATCCCTGGAACCCCGACGGACCCCGGGCCATCTACGGCTTGTACGGCTACGGCGTGTGTGGGAACCACAATGTTCCTCTTCTACAAACTATAGGGCGCGCGCGCTCCACAGCGGCCTGTTTCTGCTAGGGTGACAGATGGCCTCACCTGTCACCCCCAGGTCTGCGCTTATGGAGGACGGAGGTCGTTTTGCGACCTCCGGCGCCTGAGTCTCCTGCGGTATCTGGCCCGTTCCCGGGCTTGACGAAACGGGAGAGTTCTAAATCTCTCCCGGTCCTGCTCCGCCGTTTCTTTCGCAAGCATAACTTCCTCGCAGAAGGAGACGGCGGAGTTCCATTTCATTCCCTTCAATTCATTAACGTCTTTACTGAGGAATCTGCATAACGTAATTAATCTGATAAAATAAGGTGGGTGGACCATGGAAGGCCACGCTCCTTTGAAGGCCAACTATTAAAAAGTCGTAGTTATTGACATGTAAAGACATATTCCTTCTACTACACACTACGATCCATCAAACTGTAGGCCACAGACGCGGCGGCGAGTCGCTCGCGCCGCTATTGTGGCAGTGCGATCTCACGCTTCGTAGACTTCGGTCGTCGACGTTACAATTGTTATTCGCGCGCACAGCAAAACGTAAGTTTTTAGTTAGTGAAAATATTGGTAGTGTTCCTAGGAAAGCCGGTGGTTCCTTATAAGGCCAATCAAAAATTTGACGGTTGGCCTTGCTAGGGAACATGGGCCTTACATCTATAAACCATGAACATATGAACACTTATTATGTAATTATAAATACGTACCGTTAAAGTTAAAACAATGTTTTATATTTATAATTTTTTGTAAGGGTTTTCTAACTTTTAAACTCAGATTGAATAGACATTTTTTTCAAAATTATTTTCAGTATATATTTTAATTTACTTTATGTCTATGAAGAGGTTATGTCTGGAAATAAACTAAACTAATTTACATGAAAACATTGATATAATACTTACATAGATGAGTAATTACCGCCTAAAATCGTTGCTACTGCACATCTGTCCACAGGCATATGCGTAGCAAACGTCAATTCAGTGTTCAATGTGGCGTCAACCGAGTTGAACATAGCGACACATGACAGTAACAATCGCCAAAATGGGTAAATGCGTAGTGAAAGAATGCGATTCAAGGTCACAAAAGCATAATAAATCATGCGGAATTACTTATCACGTGTAAGTTTATGGTTTTTGTATTGATAATATCGTAAATAAGGCTATAATTGAAATAAAACATTAATAATTGTAATTTAGAATCAGTGTTACCATTAAAAAATCATTTTTGTTTTCCCACATTAGTGGGAGAATTTATCATTTATGAAATAATATGCTTTATACTGTTTTTAAACATTTTGTCAATAATCTGTACTAATATTATAAAGCTGAAGAGTTTGTTTGTTTGTTTGTTTGTTCGAACGCGCTAATCTCAGGAACTACTGGTCCGATTTGAAAAATTCTTTCAGTGTTATATAGCCCATTTATCGAGGAAGGCTATAGGCTATATATCATCACGCTAAGACCAATAGGAGCGGAGCACCAATGAAGAATGTTTCGAAAACGGGGAAAATTTATTACTATTGAGAGACGCAGACGAAGTTGCGCGGGTCAGCTAGTAATAAAATATAGGAAGAACGGTAGTTGTTAGGGCTGAATCGATCACTTTTTTTAGGGACCCGTTGAACGTTCACCTTCTGCCAAGCTCGCAGTGCTGGAGACTTTTGTATAAAAGAATTAATTAATTCATTCATTCATTTTTCTTAATTAATTATCAAATATAAATAACAATTGTACAAAAAAATATATATATATATAAAATAAAAAAGTAAATAAATATAAAAAAAAATATAAAAAACAAAAAAATATATATAAAATAAAAAAGTAAATAAATATAAATAAAAATGTATAAAAAACAAAAAAATATATATATTTTTTATTTTTTATTTTATTTGTAATTTAAAATATTAAAAGAATTTGCAATACACCCTGGGGATTATTTATTATCAGTACAAGTTGATCATTCACTTTTACTATTAAATGCCATTATTTATACATAGGTAAAAATAAGATTGTATCATGAAAGTAAAATATTCACACAAACTTATAAAAAAGAGTCTAAAAGACAATTGTATACAAAACTGATGCTTCACAGCGGAGTTTGATTTTACACTTAATATAAACCCTTTTAACCAAATATTTCTAGTTATTTTATTATTTATACCTATTCCATTCAATTCGAAATATATTATTTAAAATATTTAAATTAATTTATTTTATTACAAAATTGTTTAAAAAAAAAATGTTTCTTGGTTGTTATGGGTAAAATTTCATACGGTAGTCAACACTGGCCCACCATCGTAAAGTTATGTCTTTGTCTTTGTCTAATCCGAGCGATGGCATTGTTCTTGTCTCGCGTGTAAATGAGACATAAATATGTTTACTTTCAAATGTTTCGTGGTATCAAAGCTACGTCGTCAAAGTTCAAAAGTGGTTACACTTTTTTCGACGTGTGATAATGAGGTTTGCTTCTCTAGTGTTGTTTTAACTCAATGCATGAAAAGCAACGAATATAAAAAATATTTGCTTGTTAAAAGCGGTATAGTAAGTATGAGATAAGTTAAAAATTGTATATCTAAGATAGTCTGTCTAAAACTATAATTAAAGCTAAAAAAATATATCAATAAGTTGGTAATTGAACAGATGATTAAAATTTATACGTATTATTTCAGATATCAAGAATGTCACAGTCAAAACCTAGAAAAAGAGGTAGTACATGGAACGAAGATAGTTTAAGATTTTAAACATTCCTGACTACAAGACTGACTATGTGCCATGATAAGTTTTTAATAATTACAGTACGTCTGTAGTGTCTATTATTTTATTATAATTAATATAAAAAAGTCATAGATTGTTAGTTTGGCATTCTTAGGAACATTGTGGCCTTACAAAGAACGGAGCCTTAAGAAGGCCATATAAGTTTAAAAAAAAGTTTTTAATTTGATTATAAAACGCGTTGGCAAGTTATTTTATATCAATATAATATTTATTACTACTAGTTTTAAATAATTTCCATTAATATATTCTTAGTTATACGATGGTGTTCAAGTAATGTTCATTGTGTTTTTTATAGATAATAAATATATATTGTGCATTTAATGTTTCGCTTAAATGAAAGAGCTTATTATGTAGTTTTAGTAAAAGCGGATATATTAATTGTTACAACTCTATTTTTAAGTTGAACGACTGAATTATAATATTGGCCTTGTTTGGAGCCCTGTTCCTTGCAAGGCCATTTGGAAGAGCTTAATAAAACTTAAGTTTAATAAATAGTTATTAAAGCTGGGTAAAAAAAAGTGATTTCTATGGTACACAATAAACCAAAGTATGCCTTAACAATTTGTTTCCTTCATTTATCCAGTAAATATACGAATAAAAAGTGTTTATTCTTTAGAGTGGCCTTCCATGGTCCACCCACCTTACATAAATACGACTTTAATTTTTTTTTTTTCTTAGACCTCTGTGAATTAGTTAAAAAGAAATAATGTACCAAAGGCTAATTGTTAAAAAGTAAATGAAAATCGAATTTAACAATAACGTCTAAAATGGAGAGTCAAATATTTTCTGTTTTATTGACTAGATTCAACCTCATAATTTAGTGCAAATTAGAATAGGTTGTTAACAATTTTTTTTATTAAAATGTAATATCGTCCGTTTTTCTGAATGCCATACTTTAAGAGAAAATTGATTTTAATTTTTTTATAGTATACAAGACTAGTTTGTTGCTTTCTAGGACTGATCAGTATGTCTCATACAGGCTATTTAGAAGCGTCCAAGTAAATATTTGTTAATTGGCAGCGATCGTGTTTTGTGTGGTGCAATAATTTAATAGCCGCCTATAATAATTCGCCTTATTTCCAGTTCAGAGCATTGTTTTCACCGTTTCATCGTTGATGTGAAATAAACCTCCGAGGCCCAAGTGCGAGTTTATTTCACAGATGTGTTCGCTCCCGAGTAGATACTGTTGAGACCGAGTAGATAGATTTGAAATAAACTTGGCCAGCTGTATATTGAAAATAGAGGTCAATGGCGTACAAAAAACTACGATATGAACATAGTTGTTGTAGACGCAGTGAAGTTTGCTGAGTTAAAATATTATAATACTCTTAGTGTCTGAAAATTATTACACGTTTATTTATTGCCTGTAAAATTCATTGAATATTTTCGCAGTCTAGTACACGGTATCTAATTATTATTTAAGCCAATATAAAATTAAGGCCCCGAGTTATTTAATTATATCAGTTATAATTCAAGTTCAAGAAATTCATGGCCTTTGCTTTAGGTTTCTACAATTTTTCACTTTCAATTTTTCAATTTTTTTTTTCAATTTGCCTATAAGTCTTATTTCGTTTCGATAAGACTACAAAAAGTACCTAAGTAAAAAGTAAAAGTTTCGATGTCAGGGTGTGCGATTCTACAATAACATACCAAGCAAATTAATTAATTTCCCAATAAGTCTTATTTCGTTTCGCAAGGATGTTAAAAATTAGCACTTGATCCAGATGCACACGAAAATTGAAAAAATATCCAAGTTTTCAATATTAAAAATCAAAGTATTTTCAACACAACAAACTCTCGACGTTTGTTTTTGTCCCTCGTAAAATTTGACGCATGTCCTCACTGGTTTTAAAAATGTACACGTAACATATACCTGTGAGGTACATACTTGTCAACATTTCAGCAGATTTTAATTTCCAATTTGCCAAAATAACGAATGCAGACCATAAAATTAATCATTTTATTATCATTATTAATAATACAATTGTGTGCTTATTATATACAAATACCTAGTTAACAATTACCAATCACCCAATGCTGTCTCCAAGAACTTTTCAAATTGCAAAGATTTATTTTTTTCTTTCTCTAATAGTTGTTCTAGCTGGTTTACTGCTTCTGCACAGTTATTGTATTTAGATATATTTTCATCTGTTTCCTTTATCTGCTCTTCAACTAGTGTTCTATCTTTATCTTCCAACATTAAGCATTCTAGTGAAGTCATTGCCAATTTCCTTCGTTTCGATTCTATATAAGAATCAATTCCATCTTCGTAATCGAAAGCTTTGTGTTTCAATTCATTGATGGCGGTAACTTCATGTAACCAAAGAGCACTGCGATAATCTTGTAAAACACATTTATCGTATATAGCAAACCTGTTTTCAAAGTTATTCAGTCTATTAATCTTTTCGTATACTACTATATTCATGAAGTCTAAAAGGTTATAGTGAGCGTAATATTGTTTAAAATCCTCGTTAGGCATGCTCACATTCGAAAGCTCGTGTGGTAAGATGGCGACCACCTTGCATACTACTTCTGCAGGATCGTCAAACCATCCTATCTGATTACAATAATCTGTTATTTGATTCTGCATGCTAATCGCATTCACTGGATTAAAATCTGATTTTGGATCAGGCAGCTTTAAATGATTCATAATTCTCTTTATCGCCGAAACATTATCAGATGTTCTTGCGCTACTTGGTATAAATTCGTATGGTTTAGGATAAGGAGATGCGCTATCTAAATACGGTTGAAATTCTAGTGGAAATGTTGAGTAGTTGAAGAGGTCTTCGTTTGTAATAACATCGGTAAGCTTATCCACTGCTGTATTGTAACATTTAATTAATTTATACAGATCTTTTAAAATTAAATTCATACGATTATGTGTATGTGATTTCAATTTGCACCATATTTCATTGCCGAGGTACCGTTGACATAATGATTTCAAGTAATCTGTTTCTAGTGGTGGAATAAGTGGGTATTTTCTCGCTAACCATTTCATGGCTGTTTTGGTAGTCATATCTAAAGTTTCTGACACTGATTTTGAACTTATAACGAATAGCCTGTATGCTATTATTACATTCCGTTTTACCAGATCCGCCAATAGAGTTTCTACACGTGTTTGAAGTGAGTCGCTTTCCATTATTGGAATTATGACTGCAACTGGAATAACCTGATACGGATATTTACTTTTTAGCGTTTCCTGTATCACTTCAACAAGGTCATTGTCGTTTTCAGTAGCATAAAAAAGTAGGCCATTGGCACCATCTACAGCTTCGGTAAAATCAGATGGTTTATCTTTGCTTATTAAACTAACAGATATAGCGAAATCCATCAAATGATTCCAAGATTGTTTGCTGACATGTATAAGAGTATCAGACACATCATGTTTTTTTTTGTCACCAAACGCATCTATTAACCAGTTTTCAATATTAATCTTTCTATAAAGATACTTCATTGAACCAGGGACAATGAGAGAGAGTTTCCAAAAGAAACATTTATCATAGGGATAACTTATTTGTTTCATGCGCTTCAACAAAGGAGATCTAATAATTTCCATAATGTTATAGGGCTTTGATTTAGGTAATTGCTTAACTTCACCGGTAAACCTGTAACCTCTGTGAATAGCGTACATATTGCATAAAGCGGAGTTTTCGACGATCCGCCGCAACAGAGCAGCCTCCTCTACTGGAGTTTTCTGAGTCAGCCAAACTGGTGTGTCATTTAAAAGACTTCGTCTTTTAATATTTCGTAAGTGATTTTTCTTCCAAATATGAAACCATTTTTTCCTTATTTTTTGAGTCAAAAAAGTTTCCGCTTTCATTTCGGATTTACATATGTCAACACATAAATCAGAAACTATTTCATCTGAAGTTATGGCAGCAAAGTCCATCAAATTTTTTAGTTTTTTCAATTCCTCACTAACCATATCTTTCACTGTTTCATTCTTTACTTCATTGATTAGTTCCTCGACAAGTTCTGAAGATTCTTTATTAACTCTTTCTTTGAATTTCTGTTCCTCTTCAGCCTTTCGTTTTAACTCTGCTTTTTTTTGTTCTTCTAACTTCCTCTTTAACTCCTCTTGTTTCTTTTGCTCCTCTCTTTTACGTTTCTCTTCTAGGAGTTTAATTTCTTCTTGCTTTTTACGCGTCTCTTCTTGCCTTTTACGTTCCTCCTCCTTACGTCTTTCTTCTTCCTGACGCTTTTGTTCTTGTTTTCTAATTTCATCTTGCTTCTTTATAGCTTCTTGTAGTTTTCGTTCCTCAGCTTTAACTCGTTCTTCGAGAAGACGCTGATTCTCCAACAACGAGCTGTTTGGTAGGTTTTGTGCCTCATTATTATTTTGATTGAATTCATAAATTGAAGAGCCGGTCGTGGGTATCGAATTTAGTATGTTATCAGCAACTGTCTGAGCTTTATTTTTACTTTGAAATATAGAATAAGTTTTATCATCTGAACCATTTGGCGCTTTTAAAACGCTTTTAAATAGGCTCCCTGGTGAAACACTCTTGGAAGTCTCACCATTGGCAAAATTTTGCGTTTTTTCATTTTCAGATTTAGAAAATATATTGCTAGTTTCAGGCAACTTTCCAAAGGCACCAAATATTTTAGAAGGATTTTTCGTTTCATTATCTCCTGTATCCGTTGGCTTCTGAAATATGTTGCCACCTTTCTCAACTGTGATTGTACTATCTGGTTTGACAAATAAATTATTGTTAGCACTTGCAAATATATTATTTGAACTAAATGGTGCTTGTTTTTCCGTACTATTATCTTCTTTCGCAGTAAATATATTTTTACTACCAAATACAGTTTGTTTCTCTGCGGTCTTCTGTACATTTTTTGTAAATATGTTATTACCACCAAAAACAGTTTGATTAACAGAACTTTTTTGATCATTAGAGTTAAATACACTTTTAGCGACATCTCCAAACACATTCGTGGATTTGGGTTTGTTAACGTCAGACTTTGTACCACCAAATAGAGACTGAGAACTTTGGCCTTTATCAACTTCTTGTTTTGAAAAAATATTATTTGTGGTGACATTTGGTTTCGTATCAAATAAACTCTTTACAGTTTCTGTTCCAGAAAATATACTATTGACAACTGCAGTTTCTTGAGGTTTTGAAAACGAGAACATATTTTTGTCTGAACTGAATATTTTTTCTGGTGAATTTTTTATAATATCTGTCGGTGCAACCGGTATAGCGGGTTTGAAAGAAAATAATTTTGTATCTACAGGTGTAGCAAAATTGTGAGCTGGCTTCGAGCTTGAAGATTTTGGTTCATGTTTAACAAATACATTGGCCTTAGAGTCGGCTGGCCTTTCTGTGCCATACGATTTGACACCTTGAGAAAGCCTTTGAATCTCTGTCTTCAAAGCATTTATATCTTTGTTGCTATCATTAATAGTATTGTAACCTTGATCTTCAGCAGTTAATGCAGTTTCCTTCAATCTACCATCCGGAGTGAAACTAGTGTATAAAATGTGCTGACTGTAACTTATATCAGGGAGGAATCCGCCTGCAATTATTTCTCCAACTGAGCAATTTTTCTTAGATTCAACAAGATCGATAGCTCTAGAAATTGGATATGGATCACTGTCCTCTATGAATTGGTTTCTATCAAGTATAACACATATTTCTGAATCATCAGTTCTAGAGAATCTCAAACCATAGTGGTTAATGAAAGATTTAAGATTTTCAATGGATTCAAATGCGAGGGTCCTTATCATGTCTTCGGCGGGATATCGAGAGCCTCCTCTGGGGGCGTACGCTTTGACAATCCTTGCGAGTGCCCGAGCACGGACGTCGTTGAAGTATCGTAATAATATACACGCTTGAAGGTATGTGGCTTCGTGTTTAATAAGTCTGAAGAACCTTACATAGTTATTGTTATCTAAAGCGTTAAATACGTTAATCGCAAACGCTATTGGTGCCGACTTTTGTATCGCCTCTGGTAATTGTTTGATCTGTAAATAAACAACAAAAAATATTAAAATTAAAGGTATTTTAAGGCCCGCGTGTATGTCGATGATAATGTAACTTTTAATTAGTGAAAATTGGTTTAGTGGTTTAGGCGTTGAAGCGTAGCAAAAAAACAAACCCACTTTGACATTTATAATATAAGTATGGATTATCGTACTTATGATCTGATTTTGGATCAGGCAGCTTTAAATGATTCATAATTCTCTTTATCGCCGAAACATTATCAGATGTTCTTGCGCTACTTGGTATAAATTCGTATGGTTTAGGATAAGGAGATGCGCTATCTAAATACGGTTGAAATTCTAGTGGAAATGTTGAGTAGTTGAAGAGGTCTTCGTTTGTAATAACATCGGTAAGCTTATCCACTGCTGTATTGTAACATTTAATTAATTTATACAGATCTTTTAAAATTAAATTCATACGATTATTTGTACACTTTGACATATATAAGTATGGATTATCGTACTTATGATCTGAATAAATATTTTTATTATTAAAATCAATAGGATTATTATGATATTAATACAGGATTTTTATATTAACACAGAATCTTAGTGATACTGGTATCGAAATAAATACTATAGACCTCGTAACTAGACATAGTAATCCACCGATATGATGTAGTTATAAACCGTATGTAATTATTCTACTAGTACTACAAACAATAAAGTTACAACATAACTAACCTCCCACCAAAAATTCGCATCACCGAGGTTGAGTAACGCAACATATCCGCGGAACTCAGCCTCTCTGGGTTTCGCTTCAGGACTGACATCAGCATACATGTGCTTCAATGTCTGTAGACATTTTGTGAGATTGTCGGTGTTAAGCTTCTGATCGAACTGCGTGTGTTCGAGGTCGGCGAGACGCGCCGCGCAATGGGCGTGGAAACGAGCGCACATCTCAACCAAACTGATGGAATCTGTAATAATAACGTTATATTAATGTTGCGCCATAGGATTAAATGGTTCTTGTATTCTGTAGTTGGTTCGCGAACAATCGAGAGTTGTATGGAATCTTGAGGACAGCGCCGATAGTATCACTACACGTTTAAATATTGATTCATAAATCCGATACTTGCTGCGCCATCTAGTATCGAATAACGGAAGATGGAACTCCAGAAATTCCTTATTATCTGTAACGCTCTTATCGAATCCTAGGGATTATTCTAGTTATTTCGGTATTATATATTCCTATATAAGAAGAGCGTGTTTGCCGTACGTAAAAAATCAATTGAGTAGCCCCTAGGCCATTTTTTCTGGGATTTTACATAGACCATATCTTCATAAGAAATGATAAAATTTAATATGAATAAGTTTTTATTGTCATCGCATAGCATAGACATGAATATACGCAGGGATGATACGCAAAATCTGTTAATAACATTGAACTATTTATAATGTTTTTTATTTATTCTCTTAATAAAAATATTCGGTCTGTAAATATTGTTAGATATTTTAAAATCACAATTACACGTCACCAACTCTTTACGCACCTGCACAACACAGAGCCTGCTGTGTTATATCCTTTCTTATACCACGAAATCGATCCCACATGAAATGAAACCAGTCAGCCAAGGAAACCTGAAAGAAGATAAGACTTCAATAAAATAAATTCTAAACATTATATTTAATAAATTTTTATTTTATAGAATAATTGAGCTGTGCACTTTGCAACTCGTCACAGCAAACTTCAATAACTCTACAACTAACCATAGAGCCATATTTCGCGTACGACGTGCAGCGTCAGTAGTTGCATTTCGTACGTGAGCAGCCTGTTGTCATAATTGCACACGGTAAAGTAAAAATTTACACAATTACCTGTCGTTTGGTATCGGCGATCTCATGTAGTAGGTATGCGCAGGTGCGCAGTAGCACTTGTGGGGGGCGAAGTTCATAGCACATGGGGATCTCCTGGTCGGCTGAACTGCGGCTATACTGTTTAACTGCGCGCCAAGTGTCCAGCTCGCCGTCTGACTCTGGCACTGACTCGAGAGTCATCACCTGTAAACAATAACTCCGTACTAAACAGTATGCTCGTTTATAAATTACAATATACCTCTACCATAATACATCGACCACACCTTTTAAATTGGCCCATTTTCTATCATAAAACCTGAGACTTTCCAATAGGTTCCAAGAAATTATTATTTCGTCTAAGTCTGCAGTCAACTGGTCAATTTGAATAGACATAAGAATTTTTTAACGCAAACGGACTATACTTTGGTCTGTACATAAAACACAATGTAGTGTTATTAAATAATTAGATGTGATGCATTGAAAACTATTGTTTAACAAGCTCACCTGGTGTTCCGATTGTCTTTGTAGCAACTCTTTTTCCGGGCACATGTCTTGACATGTACCAATAGTTGCACCTCCAACTTTGACTCTTGAACCAGCACCTCCCCAAGCTCTTAGCACTCTGAGATATACATAAAAAGTACTGTGCTAGTTATTTATTTTCAAAATGAATGATTTTATTTATGTTAAAGCTTGAGTCTCCTGACCTTCAACGAACTTGAACATACATACCACTTAATTTTACTACAAACTTCAAAAAAATACTTTTCTATTTTTTCTGACAATTTCGGTAATCCCTCGAATTGGAAAAAAAAGGAAAGCAGACTTTATCTTCATCGTCATAATTTAAGATCGCTATTTGTGTATTATTCACATCTTTAATAAGATTTTTTATTGTATTGAGATAGTACATGTATAGATGGTGTATTAAACAGGTGAAAAATTATACAATCAAATCTATGAAATCGTAACTGGAGTTTATTGTATTATAGTTTGGCAATTTAGCTACTGTACCTGTCTCTTGCATCGAGAATTCGCCATTGCTCATCAGGAGTGAGTGATATCTTCGAACGAAGCTGATGCAATTCCGTCGCAGCTTCTAAGGTACTAAGATTTGTTTGTGTCGTCGTCACTGCCACTGGAGGCTCTATTAAACCTGCTGGCTGGACTCTGTAAATAATTTACAAGATGTAATAACAAGAGATAAGATAAAATAACAAGAGATTTTCCAGTATAAGTACAATTACAGTATAATTACTTTAAGTAAACAATATAGGGAAGAATGCATTTTGGTGTGTACATCCCTGAAATACATTCAGGGATGTACACACTTATTAAACTTTAACACTTATTGAGGCAAAAAACTTATATTTTTTTTATTTTTTTTATGTACTTGAAAAAATAAAGACTTAACTCTATGGTCTTCTTTTGGTTTGTTATATATTTATAAGATAGGACAAGACAGGCTAGTGTTTTTCTGTGTGTTTTTGTAAAGAACATACTATGGTTTACATGTAAGGGGGAGAATAACGATAAATCTTAATAGAATATATTGTTTAATAACAATATATATAACAATTTTCCTATCCTGACTTACAGTTAAGAAAGTTTCACTTTTCACACAACTTTGAATAGTGATACCACTAAGTGTTTTTGCTTTTCGACTTATTTATATTCATGTAATACTCAATTTGAGGAGTTAAGAAAAAGCAGTCTTAAAAAAAACAACATAATAATGTAATATTAATTTACTTACACAGATTTTTTTTCTCTGACTGGAAGTTTTTTCTTCACAGGTGGTTGTTTCAGAGTCTGCTGCAGTGCTTTCATTCTTGGAGATGAAACAACCAGGCTAGATTTCTCGACATCCATTGCTTTAGAAATAAAAATTAACACATTAAACAATTTGTGTTGCTCCATCAGAGGGGTTTAATATTGGCCATCATTGTTTTTTAGATTGTGAAATGTGTAACTAACATTTTATTTTGCCAAGAATTTCCTGGTTGTAAGTAGCCACACAACCTCTTTTTGTAGAAATTAATTCTATTACAATACTTCTTTTAACACAATTTCAGAAAGTAACCACTGCTCGCACTAAATATTTAATTTAATAATCAACACTTGATATCTATCATTACTAATAGTGGGATGACTTTTTGTGATTGTACATCAGAAACTTGTAAGTTACAAGGAAATTATTTCTAATCAAGGATTGTAGGTTGGAAGAGTTTCGAAAGAAGATCCAACCTTCTGAGTTGGTAACCAGTTTCGAAAACAGTTTTTTTTTTCTTTATTGGAAAACAGGTTTTGATTAAAGAGAAATAATTCTGTTTTGGAAACTGGTTTCCTTCAATTGGTATCCAACATGGAAGAAGGGGCTTTTTCCATTTTTACTGTATAATGAGAACTTTATGTAATTACGCAGCATTAATGGAAAGTTATAGGTACTTCGCCACTCACAATTACGGGCGCGAGTGAATCTGTATGTTGGAGTACCTCCCATTGCTGACAACTCCTGTTCAACTTCAGGATCTGGAACCCAGTCTGGGTCATCTTCCTTCCTCGTGCTACGTCGTCGCCTACACAGTAAAAGTAACAATGTAAATGGTAATAATTCATTATGTTTAATACTTAAAGGAACATTTACAAAAGACAAATCAACTGTATGTATTCACTATTCCATTAAACTAATGGTGTTTTAATTACTTGCTATGGTTCAATGGGCAGTACAAATACATTTAGGAAGAAGAATTAAGTTGACATTATAGTGATGACCTTCCTATGAAATTCCTTCTTCTTCTTCTTCCTCCAGACAGGCATACATGATGACACACAAATCAACAATTTGGATAATGATATAGATAACTAAAACTAAATCACTATACATAAAAAGGGATAGAATAAAATTTTACACAATTTTTCTTCTCATTCATTCATTCATTTCTTTATTATTTTCAAAGTTAACAAATAGTAAATATATCTCGAAATTTAACTAGTGCTAACACCAGAGCCATAAAAATCTTAATTAATAGAGACAAAAAGATTATCTAGAAGTGTGTGAAAGATGAATGATACACATTAATATTATTCTGTAAAGTAAGGTAGAAAGAAAATATATTAAATAATTTTGTCAGCTTCCCTGTTACTACAGAGAGACCAACATGTATCCAAAAAATCCTGTCAAATGACTGGGGGGGGAGGATCAGGCCTCTGGGAACTCCACTCACTTCATGATACAACAAAAGAATTCATCATATTTTTCAAGGTGACTCAGTATAACATGCAAAGGATTAATTTTAAAATGATAACCTATCAATTCAAGATTATTGTTTTTTTTCCTGCTATCTTATAAGATAATAAAACTAGTTGCCTCAGGATGCATATTTATTTTTGCTGTACTTTATTAGAGCAGTACATTACAAAATATATTAAATACTAGTATATTTGAAATGAACCTACTTAGAATTATTTGTAGTACTTACGCTCTCAGTTTAGTGCGAGTAACATCAAACATAAATCCATCATAAGCTCCAGCATTCAATAAAGCCCTTTCAACAGAGCTTGGGTGTTCAAATTCAATAATACACAGATGTTTCTTAGGGGCTAATCTGATCTTTTGTACACGTCCAAACTTGCTGAAGTGTTTACCCGCTGCTGTAGCATCAAATAGACAGTCAGGGACATTTGTGCACCTAAAATTCAGAGATCATTTTGGGTTAATAATCTTTCTTTCCATCTCTCTACAGCAAAAAAATATATTAACTGAATATTAAATACCAGGAGCAAAACCATGCTGCTCTCTAGGGTTGAAACCCTCTTATGAAAAAATACAGTGGCCCTTATTATGAAAAAAAAATCTTACGACTTACGTGATGCAAGTCCTAGGATTGACAGGTACATCTTGCGAAGGGCTTTTTACTTTCTTGCGAGGACTTGTGGGATTCGGTTCTGGTTCCGTATCCATTTTATTGAATTTATCTCAATTTCTTCCAAGAAGCACTACGGAGGAAAGAAACCAACCAATAAAACACATGAGGCGATCCTGCCTTCGGCGATACCCTTCCCTTCCCTACAATGAATAAAGTTTGAGAATTAGTTGATTTTCAAACATAAATTAATGTTAATCTTCCAGTTCTGAAATTGTAACTAGGTAATATAAACAAGAAAAAACGAATCGTGAAAAATGTAAAGCTGAGCTTTTGGACAGATAATTTAAATGTTGCCAGTTGCCAACGTTAAAGGTTGAATTCGACAGTTTTTTTTTAATATATTGCAAGGCGCAAACGAGCAGACTTGATTTGTTTGTGAATTAAACAAAAACGAAATCTAAATAATCTGACACTAAACAGATTCGTAAAGTCCGAAAAAATTCATTTCTATTTAATAACTACATAGAATTGCTGATTGCTGATGGCTACCCGAGTCGCCGGCAAGAGGTGCAATATTATATTTTTTGTGAAATTATTATTACAGTGTTTGTAATCTTCAGTATTATGTAGGCGTAATTCAAAGTTAATAATAATAACCTTTAATTGTATAAATGAGATGGTAAGTTTCCGTGTGGTGACGAATTAAGAATACAGTGTCACCACCCCTATTCATCCCGTGGGTGTCGTAAGAGGTGACCAAGGGAGCGAAATACGTAGGACAACAGCACTGCAGAGAGAACGAAAACTTGACACAGACCCTATACCAACCCGTCTGGCCAGCGTGGTATAGTAGGCCAAACCTCCTTTCTAAGGAGAGGCCTATGTCCAGCAGTGGACTGTTAAAGGCTATTGATGTGATGATGATCTTGATGTGAGGTTCACACAATTTTACATTTATTAATAATAATAATAATATTGTTTATTTAAATTTAAAAACGTATTACAATATTCAATTACTTCTGCCAAACTGCACAGCAGTTTGTTGGCAGACGTAGCTCCCACTTTATCATATTACATTATTTTAACTATTGTTATTACACTTTTTATTGTAATTTAACAATTACATTACCATATCCTTTTTACAAAAATTAAAAAAAATAAAATAAAATTTAAAATAATAAAAATAAATAACATGCAAAATTACAGTAACGATCATTTAATCAAATTAATTAAAATTACCTAGTGATTAGTTATTGTTATCATTAGTTTACATAAGTGAGTGATACAATTTGAAGTCTACAATAAATCTTGGTTGAGTGCTGTTTTCCCAGCTAGGCTACAGAATAGCCTAGGGATAAGACAGTCCTGAAATCTCAAAAAAAATTGAAACTAGTGCAGCACGTGTTTGTAATTCAAGTTAAGGAATCGTTCAAGTTATTTTGGTTTTATGGGTGTGTGTGTGTCTCGGTTAATGTTTATATATGTTGTGTGCGGTGATGTGAGTGGTGCATATGTGTTTCTGTATGAGTAATGCATGAGTATTGTATGTATGTTTGTGCTGAATGGTATGTCTGGTGTATAAGCATCTACAGTATGTTGCTTGGGTGTGAAATCCACAAGTGACGTCATTTAACCAAGAATGCCTTAGTAACGTCGTAACATAAATTTATTTTTGCAATAATCCACTTTTTGGCGCAGGAGGGTAAAAATGGGCTCTCAGGCTTTTAACAATTAAAGTACCTTAGTTCGTATATTGCTCCCACAAAATTGTATTCCATGTTTTGTTGTCGCACGGCCAAATACGAGTAAATATTTCTTCCGCGAGCAACGTTTAAAAACAGTCAAAATTGTGTCTCCCGAAACTTTACAAGCTTCTTTTATCATTTTGTTTGATATTGTATCATCGCCCGAAGGATCTAACGATACTGAGAAATTCGTCTGAAGATGGTAAATCAGACATTGGAGAGAGGGGTGGCTCGATGGCAAACTGCCTGATGTCTGTCCACTGTCGGTGATGATCAGTGTCATTTTCCGGCCGATCGTCAGGTACAATTGATTCTAAAAGATATTCTGATGTTTGTTCTACTCCTGTGGTATCGGTTATTAATTTTGATGTTCTGTATGCAAGGTAGATTGATCTATTTGCCTCGGGCTCTCTCTATCGAGTTTCTCAACAAGTTTCTGAATTAAGTTTCCCTTGGATTTTTTCAAGGGAAACTTAATTCATTCATGTCCGTGTGGTGACGGATTAAGAATACGGATTGCACCACCCCTATTCATCCCGAGGGTGTCGTAAGAGCCGACTAAGGGAGCAAAACTACGCAGGACGAAAGCACTGCTAAGAGAAGGAAAACTTGAAACAAATCCTATACCAACCCGTTTGGCCAGCGTGGTATAGTAGGCCAAAACCTCCTTTCTAAGGAGAGGCCTATGTCCAGCAGTGAACTGTTATAGGCTCTAAGAGCAATGAGAGCATTATTGTACAAATCTCCTGTAACTATATGCTCATTAATAGCGTTTAATTTCCTACGAGCTTTCGGGTAGCTTCAACGTAATTCGGCTAATTTTTCATTCACATTCATATCTACGAGTGTTAGTAATAGATCCACGACCAATAGGCACGTCAACGCAGTATATAAAAGTTTCTGATAGTATTTTGGCGCTTTTCTCAGCTGATAGACTACTGCGACTGAAGTCTTTGGCATGAGTTGCAAAGAGTGAGCTAAACAAATGCCAGTTTATATCAAACCTTTAGTTTTATATCAAAAATTATAGAGAGCTCTTCGCGGATCCTGTGCAACCCTTGGTGTGAATTCGTACAAGATCAAGCGGTGATCATTACAGGATCCGGATATCGAGACTCACCCATTTGGTTTCAAAAAGTTGGTGGTGCATCATCATGGGGTGGGGTATCGTGAATAGTAAGATTCATTTCAGCAATGAAATCTTCAACCGCACAACGTTAAACCGTATCGGTTGAACGCAACTTGCTGTACCGTAATGTAGATGACGCATTGACATCAGCTCCAATGAAAATTTTATGTCCCTCGAGGGACTCTAAGACGTAACGTAAATGATGTAAGTGAGGATCAATAGGATGTGAATATTGAAAGTAGCAGCTCACTACGTAAACCCTACGGGTAGAGGATATGATCTCAGCAACGACACTGTGTAACGTCGGAACTGTCAAGTAATACGAATACGAAATGTCAGAATACGAAACGTTATTTGACAGAAACAAATGTTTAGTGATTTTTAGTTTAGAACAACAGAATTAGCACCATTATTAAGTTACTCTATAAACTAATCAGTAATTGGTATTTAAGATTAGCTGCTCTAGTTTTAATTTATATGTAGGACAGTCGTGTGAGCCGCATCGATGGTCAGATGGTTTTTTGAACCACCTGCACTGTGCGCGTATATATAGGTTCATTAAAATAAAGACCAGTTCTTTCATAAACAATATAAATAAATACCGACTCGTATTCTTACTCTAAGATTTCATATAGTACTTGTACTGAAAAATTGAAACTCGTTTTTTAAGATATAAAGATGTAAAATATTTATTTAATCAAATCATTTACCCTCATTATCCGTACATTGCTGCCATCTAAACGGAAGTTCATTTATGCCTTTACGATGGAACTCTGGGGATCTAAATTCGAAAACTGTGCGAAAGCATTTTGTACTGCCTCCTGGGAAAGATTTTTTTTTCACGTAGAAAATTTATTCTGGGTTGAAAGTTGTGACTTTGTATTTCAAGAACAAAAAAGACGTCTATGCAACACACCTGTCTTGGGGTATCCAGAACATAAAATTAATTCATAGTTGACACAGATACGAGTGATACTGGGCTTAGCGGGGTGTTATCACAGCGGAAAGGTGATCAAAAAGTTGTTATTGCATACTTTAGTAAATCTTTGTCGAAACCGGAAAGGAATTACTGCGTCACGAGAAGAGAGTTACTGGCCGTAGTGAAGACACTGCAACATTTCAACAAATATTTGCTTGGGCGTAACTTCCATCTCCGAACTGACCACGCGGCACTAAGTGGCTTCTGCAATTCAAAAATCCTGAAGGACAAGTCGCAAGATGGATTGAGCTACTACAGGAATATGACTTCATGATTGAACATCGCAATGGAAAATCTCATGGTAACTCATTATCAAGAAGACCTTGTCCTGAAGACTGCAAGCACTGTGCCAAGCAAGAAGTAAAGGAAGCTGTGCCTGCAAGGACGCTGAAGACGGAGCAATGAATGGAAATAAAGCCTACGGCAAGCACAGTAGGAGGATGCAGATATCAAGATTCTTGAATGGCTTAAAGCCGATACTCCTAAGCCTCACTGGAGCGCATGTTGAATCGATGAGTTCGACCACGAAGAGTTATTGGGCTCAATGGGATAGTTTGGTCATCTAGGACGGAGTCTCGTGCCGCAAATGAGAAAACTCTAGAGGAGACAACTGTCATCTGCAAGTGGTTGTGCCTAAAGCTAAGATACCGGCTGTCCTGCTGGAGGAGGGTCAGGAGGCCATATGGAAGCGAAGAGGCCGTGATGGAACCACATAGACGTGGCAGGGGTGCATTGAATTTGTACAAGGTTGGTGCACCCTGGGAGAGAATTGCAATAGATGTAGCGGGGCCGTTTCCTGAATGGTTGTAATGGAATACTTCACCAAGTGGCCAGAAGTCTTCGCCATTACCAACGCTTCAACAGTTGCAGATAAATTAGTGCACGAAGGCTTCTGTCGTTTCGGATTGCCTTTAGAAATTCACAGCGACAAAGGAAGAAATTTTGAGTCTCAAATATTTCAAGAGATGTGTTGAGTAATGGGTGCTCACAAAACCACAACAACCTCTTACCATCCACAATCGGACGGAATGTTAGAACTATTTAACCAAACACTGTAGAGGTATCTGGCAAAAGTTGTGGCAAATAGGCAAAAAGATTGGGGCAAACACATCCAACCGTTCCTTCTGTCATACCGAAGTGCAGTCCACGAAAGTACTTCTCTAATACCAGCTTTCGCAAACTTCGGAAAAGAATTATGGTTGCCCATAGATTTGATCACTGGAATACCCCCTGACGCCCCGC